TTACATTGTTTTCTTATATATTCCTCTATCGCATTCGATATATAAAAGTATGTGTCATAAGTCATACGATAATATTCATAAAACTTTAATGGCTGATTTTTTAATTCTTCAAAAATTTTGAAATATTCACTCAAGTGGTGATTTAAATAAATTTCATTAACCCAGAATTGTCTCTTTCTTGGTCCAAATAATAGCTGTTTCGGGAATGTACTTTCTGCTAAATAGAATTCTTCTTCAACATCCATGACACTTTTATAGGTCGCTCACGTCCGTTCTGTACAGCAAACTAAAATCGCTCTGAATTTCGCTTAAAATATCTCTTGAACCAGAAACCATTTCTTGTTCGCCCGAATTCGGACGTACACGCCTGAACTATGGTTCGCGCGAATTCGCTTGCACTGTAACCGTAGCCTAAGGAATTTTAAAACCTAAAATAACATTCCATATTCGGGAGTGCTCGGCGATAATCGGCCGGTGGTCCGATCTGTTCACGTTTTCGGATTCGATAAAGGTTGTTAATAAACAAATAGTGTGTTGCGTTGGCTTCAAGTTTAAAGTGTTTACAACTGCCTCTATATAATATATGCAATTTTGTTGGTTAAATTCATAATTTTTATTTAAATCTAAAATTGTAGACAAGTTGCGTCGTGCCATCTGTAAATAAAACACCCAACTACACTTATTACCAGAAATTTTTTTTTTAGTGGCATGAATTAATAAAGGGGTTGTATTGATTTTTTGTCGTTACATACAATGATTATTATTTAATCAACTCAGCGGTGTTAATCCCATTTTGTTTTCCCAACAAAGATAATGTCATTTGGAACAAAATTCTCTGGAAATGGTAACGAGTTTTTCACAATCAAGTTTACAAAAATGTCAAAATATTGCAAATGGAATCTTTCTTATAACCTTTATCTTGAAGATTATCTACCAATAAATACGAAATCGGAAATTGATCACAATTCGGTATTCCAAAGGTGATAATGGTGCCATGGTATGGAAAAAGTAAGAATTTGAAATTAAATTTAATCGTTTACAAACAAGAATTAATAAACATAACCACAATATTACATTCTAATATATTTTTATGGTATTGTTTAAAGTAAAGTTCTTTCCACATTTTAGGTGGAACTGAAACACGGTAAAGGATAGACACTGGAGATTGATGTCATTTGTTGATTAGTTAATCAGGATTTGATGCCCCCTTAAGGAATTAATGCTTTATTGAAAATTAAAGAATACAAACTATGGTGACACTCCAATTTTTGAAGACAATGTTACAGTTTAACAGGTAATACATAACTTCTTACATTATAAGTCTGGTAGGGGACTTGTGTAACAAGTTGTAACAGTACAAGTTAAGTCTGGAATATCTAAATGAGTACTGTTACAAGACTTACAGGAAGTGTATCTTATTGTTCATTTTTTTTTCTATATGTGTCAAGGTAAATTTTTTAGGGATTCTGTTGCTATTAGTTAGGACCCTTATAAAATGTATGTTGTATTTCTGATTTTTAATAACATTTTCAGTAACTAAATACACCCATACCTCGCTGTACGACCTAGATACGTTCCACGAAAGTTGCCCGCAAAGCAAAAAGCCGTATAAGGAATCTATTATTCTAATACAAATTCATACAAATTCAATGGGATCGGTTCCAAATTTGTTAAATATGTAAAATGGTTTATTATTCAAAATGCATTTTATCTTTTTATTTCATTTAAATCAAAAATACATACATAACAAGTACATACATTTGTAGATAAAATAATAACAGACTCCAAAAACCAACAATAATCTATAAACAAAAATGAAACAACTTCATGTTACATATTTACATACAGGGTGTCCCACCTAAGTTGCCTCGGTTCATAGCCGAATTATGATTGAGTTTTTCAAAAAATGTTTCAAATAAAAGTTGAATCGAATCATATTGTACATATTTTAAAATTAGTTTCAGTGATGGCGGACTTCCGCTTCTACCGGAAATGGATATCAACTTTGTTATTTTAAATGGAACATCCTGTATATTATTGCATATTTGGATTCCTCGTGAAATTTCAATGGTACTTTGTTAAGGATACCTTAGGTCTAACTGGTATCGTTTTTGAATTATATGACGATTGTCGAAAAAAATGACATTTGCAGCATCTTATAAATTTGGCAATATTGCCGAAACTGTGAAAGCTAGAAAGATTTGGTTTTCTGTTTTGGATTAACAATAAAAGAGCACACGTTTGCTAATAGAAAATTATGCATTTATATTACGGAATTCTTAAGTAGGGATCTGTAATTTTCGAACTTTTTAATCATGGATAACTTATTTTTTTTAAATGGCTTTAATCTGAAGACGATGAAGAAATGGTAACCTGCAGATCACTGTCGTCATCATTTTTTGCTGGTAAGGATGGGCCTGGCTTAAAAAAATGGTCCAACATTGTTTATCTTGTCTATTTCGTTCTTCAGTGATTTGTAACAGCTAATGGCTGAATTAATTGTTCTAGAAACTTTAGCGCTACGTTCGACGTCAGGATCGTTTTCAAGGAGGATGTTTATTCCTTGTTCGAAACTAGAAAAAGCTTTCGACAAATTTGTTGATGTTAGCTGTTTGGATGTCGGTTCTGCTTGCAACTGAATGAGTTCCTCATATGAAAGGGGTTCCCTATCAGCTTCAAGTAGATCAACCACATCACGTTCATTCAAACCTTCAAAGCCGAGATCATGTGCTAGATCCAAAATGTTTTGTCTAATTTCAGGAAAGAAATTAACTTCTGCCACAAATATCAAGTAGCGCTAGACACAAAAGAAACAATTAAACTTTATTTTGTAATAAACATCTACTTATTTATTTATTTGGACAAAAATAACATCGAGTGTAAAACATTCATGCGCTACTAGATTAAAATGTTAGGTTACTTTTTGATGGGGAAAGAAATGAATTTTTAAGAAAAACAAAATACTATCGTAAAAAGAATGTTTTTAGGATCTCAATAATAAAGAAAAATTTTGGCATTCCATTTAAAAAAAAAAGTTGACAGTCGCCATTTTGAAATAATTCGTCCAATTGAAAATATGATATCACCATCGTGTAGAGAGTGTCCTAAAACATATTACTGCCAAATATTTTGAAAGTAGTACCCATAGTGTGGCTAAAAAAAATAAAGGCGCTTACTCTGAATCAGGCTGTATATTCAAAAAAGAAGCAAAAAAAAAGTAACAAATTATTTTAGGCCACAGCCAACTATGGTTTGTATTTAAAAAGATAAAGTTACTGGTAAAATATGGAAAATAAAGCATGATAAAGCAATTTAGACTACTTATTAATTATATCGCAATTGTTTCAGTTTTCGCCGATAGGGCGAAA